TGTTCTGACTGCTAAAATCATCTGTTATTCCTAATTTTAAAGCCGATATTCCGTGGGGTCGGGGGGCTCGGATCCTTGTCACTTTTTTCATACCTGATGAGTTTGCATCCCTGAAATAAGTAATCACCCTAATTTGTGGTATACAGGTTTACATACACATGCTGAAACAAACAGGAATATAGTTAATGTCTTAATATATACCTATATTTAGTACTGAACAATGTGGTCAAAATTAAGCCAGGATGTCCTATGATGGCCACCATACAGAGCATAAACTTGTTTTATTTACCCAATTACCTTTCTTTTGGCACCTTAAACTTGACATTCTTACAAGCAGTTTGATTTTTGGTGTTTCATAATCATCACAACCTCACTGCACCTTGTCGTTAATCTTTTCCCCCGTTTACCCCCCTCTGCAGGCGGTGTTCGGCATCCTCAGAGTGATGGAGGGCCTGGAGGCGTTTGACGACATGATGAAGAACTCCAAGGTCAAACCCTGGTACAGACGGATGGAGAGAGCCTCGCTCAACCACGAAGGCCGCACCTGAGTGGAACATGGAGCCTCAGAGACTGAACAGTAAACCTTCCAGGGAGACGGGCAGCAGCAAGATGGCCTGCTTTTATTATGAAAACGGTTGGAGATCCTGCTGGACTCACAATAATTTAAACCTAGCCGCAGACATAGATGTAGTTACAGAGATAACATACATGAAACTTCTGTCAGGCGACATCTAATTCTACAATTTAATTTTCAAGCTGCTTTATGGAGAAACATTCAAATCAGCTGTTAAATGACATTTTACTGACACCTGCAGGTGAGATGTGGGAACTGCAATAACTGCTTCCCATTAAATACTGCCTACAGGATTTCTACTTACCATAACCCAAAATATTATGTAATTTGGCATCTGCTTTTATTTCACACACAGTACTGTCTATTGTTTATTTTCCTTCCAAGATCAAATGGTTGAATTTAGTGGTTCTCAACCAAAGACTTTGGCTCCTGCAAGGACTCAAGTGTATTGTATTTATGAAAATTAAAACAATGTAGAAATATGTTATTATTTTTGTTCCAGTTTTTGACCATTTTATCATACAAAATTGCAATCCTATCTCTGACTGTAAATAAATAAATAAAAATCTAATTGTACAGACGAATAATGGGATAAATTAGAAGTCAAGTATGCAACACTTAAAGTGATAGAAATTATTGATCCATATGACTGAGTTCATTTATTTCCACATGGTTTTAAATGCAGACACTTTTGAGATCATTGAAGCTTTGTCTCTATTTCAGCCGATGTTTTTCTGTGTAACTGATTCAGGATCAGCTTGACAGCACGGTATCAATAAGCTTATCTGTTGCTGTTCTCTTTGGGGTTCAATTTAATAAAACGTGAAAACTGGTGAGCTGCCAGTTAGAATTTATTTAATATGTGAACTGCAGATCAATTTTCTTAAATTAATTGTATTAAAACCAACTCAATGTGCATAGTTGTAAAACATTGAAAACAGGAAACATGGATTTGTGTTAGAACTTATAAAACACGTGCAGGATTGTTTCCTGTCCGAGGTAGACTCGGTTACTGACGGTTTCTACACGGACCACTATTGCGGTAAGCATGTTGTAACTTCCGGTTGTTGTTGTCATTAGAGGAGAAGGGTCTAGCTGCGGTGTCAGTGTCAGTGTCACTACCCGATCTGCAGCTCTGCCCGATCTGCTGTGCGCATGTGCGAGATGGTCCGCCATATTGGACAACGCCGGACGGCAACCCAAGTAGGACAAAATTGACATATAGACCGTCTGAACCATTCGCAAGTTTTTACATGTGACAAAATATGCATTGCGCATTCGCGAGTTTTTACATGTGACAAACGGTGATTTGCAGAGTTTTTACATGTGACAAACGGTGATTTGCAGAGTTTTTACATGTGACAAACGGTGATTTGCAGAGTTTTTACATGTGACAAACGGTGATTTGCAGAGTTTTTACATGTGACAAACGGTGATTTGCATTGCATCTGACAGAATGAAGACTTTAGTGTTTTACAACAATTTGAGAGAATACATGTCTGAAGGTGAATTTCACACAGACCTCTCTAAAAATGAGCGAGATCAAATGCGCCGTGCGTCATCGAACTTTACAGTAAAAGGTAATTAATTCTCATTCTCCTGTTATTTTGTGTTGTGACTAACTGATCAGTTACTTAGCTCTGTCCCAAGTTTTGTATTGTATTTGTATTCTATTGTATTTGTATTGCCTTTCTAAATGAAATAATACTATACAAAAAAATATTTAATTCAATATTATAATATAATTTAATATTTTATTATTATTTATAATATAATAATTGTATTCCTGAATGACCCCTTTTTTATGTTTGTGTTTGTGTTTTTTTAATTAATCAAGCAAAATTAAAGGATAACAAACTCCAGTTATATAATTCCATATGAATAAATAATATTACATGCAAATGACATTTCCTGTAGGATGCTGAACTCTCCCACCTCTGCCCCCATTGGACCTGGATCTTAACACCCCCCCCCCCCCCCCCCCCACCCACACACACACAATATATGTATTGCTGTGCCTTCTTATTTGCTCGTATTATGATGGGATATGGTTTAATTTAGTAAATGGTTGTGTGTGAAAAATGTATATCTCTAAAATGTGTGTTGGTGTATGATCACATTTGTATATGAAAATGTCTGAAGTTCATAAAAACATTCTCAGTGTTCAAGTCAATCACTGCAAAGGGTGACGATATAGCAGAAGGTGCTATATATATATATATATGGAATTGTGTGTATATATATATATATATATATATATATATATATATATATATATATATACATATATACAATTCCAAAGCTGGTAAGGCAAGGCAAGGCAAGGCAAGTTTATTTATATAGCACTTTTCAACACAAGGCAATTCAAAGTGCTTTACAAAAAATGAAAGAGATTAAGAAAATGGCATTTAAAATCAGTCATTAAAAAGAAAAGCTAATAAAATAAACATTAAAAGAAAAAATACATGGATACAAGTAAGGTAAGGACTCTTTCAAATTTAGCAATAATAGTCTGAAGAAAAGGACTGATAACAGAGATTTGCTCTAATATGTATTCAGTATGATAGGCTCTGTCTTAACCCCAAATAATAAAACACAAAAGTCTTCATTCTGTCAGATGCAAAAGTCTTCATTCTGTAATAAAACACAAAAGTCTTCATTCTGTCAGATGCAAAAGTCTTCATTCTGTCAGATGCAATGCAAATCACCGTTTGTCACATGTAAAAACTCTGCAAATCACCGTTTGTCACATGTAAAATCTCGCGAATGCTCAATGCATATTTTGTCAAATGTAAAAACTTGCGAATGGTTCAGACGGTCTAGATGTCAATTTTGTCCTACTTGGGTTGCCGTCCGGCGTTGTCCAATATGGCGGACCATCTCGCACATGCGCACAGCAGATCGGGCAGAGCTGCAGATCGGGTAGTGACAGTCAGTACCAGATATGTTCGGGCTACCAGATATGTTCGGGTGTATTTCCGTCGCATCCGTCATCCGTCATATACTCACCTCCCTCTGCTCCCAGCGCTCTGCTGCCACACACCGGCCGTCTGCGGAACTGCAGCCGGAGGAACTCGGGACAGCTTGTTATGTGTGGGGTGCTATGGTGGGGTCCCATGTACTTGTACCCTTTAAAACTGTGGGTTTTCTTCGGAAGTTTTTCCTTGTACGATGTGAGGGTCTAAGGACAGAGGGTGTCGTATTGTCATACTGATATTTTTGTACAAATTGTGAAGTCCACTGAGACAAATGTAACATTTGTGATATTGGGCTATATAAATAAACATTGATTGATTGATTGATTGATAGACTATATATTGGGTCAGTGTACTGAATATTGTAGTTTTTCCATCAATCATATGTATAGGTCAGATTTGACTTGTCTTTAAGTTGTGGTACTAAATCGTACAAACACTAAGCCTCACTTGTTAAAACCATCAGCTCACCTCCACTGTACTCATCCTTCTAACCATCCATTTTAAATCAAGGATTTTTGGTGCATTACAGACAGTCACATCAATATACACCGTAAGAGTAAAAAACGCAAAGAAAAAATGCAAATTAAGAAAGTAGTTATTTTTATCAAAAATGTTTTAAAATTCAGACATTTACAGGTTTGAAGCTAAAATATGCATGTTATTTTACTAAGTAATGTTCAGTTAAAAATTGTGCCTTTTCTTTGATGTTAGAAATTGTTGTTCAATAAATTGTTGAAGGAAAACAACAAAACAAAAATGGTTGAGTGGCACGTTGGGAAAGTTTGATTGACTCACGCGCCAGACCTACCTTGTCTCGCACCCAGCTCACGGGAGCCTGTGGCCGTTTCTCAATCTTGAGGATACTGGCTTCCAAGCCAATATTTCAAGGATGCTACGTCATCGAGTGCTGCCGAAGTACTGTTCAACTTCCAATCTCCAGCATACTTGGAATTCCACCGAGGCCGCGTCCTTGGTTTGGGGGAAATTTCGAGGCTGCACATGGGTAGACTTCGCGTCCTTAGAATCCCCACAATGCTTTGCGCACGCCCTTACGAAAAAACACTATAGTATTACTATTAAGAATTACTATAGAAATACCAAACAACTGCTATAGTATTTCTATGGTGTTTTTGGACACACTATAGAGCATTACTTTAGTAATACTATAGAGTTTTATGTAGTATCACTATAGTGCTTTCTATATTATTTCTATGGTGTTTTGGAACACACTATAGAGAATTACTATAGTAATTCTCTATAGTGTGTTCCAAAACACCATAGAAATAATATAGAAAGCTTATATAGAGTTGACTATGGTGATTATAGTATATCTATAGTTAATTATTAACTAATTGGCTTTAATAATTATGTAATCATCCCTATAGTAAGTATGGTATCAACAAATACAAGTTAGCAAGCAGAGCAGTTTCAATTAGAAAGATCGGGGCTTTATTATCAAAAATTATTTAAAATAACTTAAATGTAAAAAATGTAAAATATATATGTATCTAAATGTACAGGAACAATTTCAGGCCCAGAAACAAAACTGTTTTCCAGGTAGCAGAACAACTGGAGTGAAGGAAAACCAACTGGGAACTCTAAAGTAACAGTAACAGCAACACTTTAGTCTCCATGGGAATCCCCAAGCAGCTCAGCTCCAGAAAAGGTTCCCTCTGTTTTTATGGCCCTTTAAGAAATAAGTAAAACATTATTTTATTTAATTAGGAATATAAAAGAATACAATTACAAAACACAAATTACGCAACCGGGTCCGCTGTCATTGTCTCTCCCCTCGTACACACAAAGACAACTCGCTCGTACACACAGATAACACGTAACAAGCAGCTCAAGTGGAGCTATTTCTGACTGTATCAGTTTATGACAGACATAGTTTTTTACAGTCCTGTGACAGCCACAGATACCGGATTATCTTTTTTTTTTTTGTCAGAGCATTTGATTTATTGATTGCTGTTGAGATGTAATGAGAATTTAAACTAATATAACACAAAATGTTTCTAAAATCTGTAACAACCCTGCCTTTATAAACTGGTATGTGACAAAGCAACAGAAATCAAGGCATTTTAAATGTATTGTAGTGAGGACATGTAGAAATGTAGACATGCGTTGTGGGTATTTCAGTATTTACCGATTTTTGCTTTCATTATTGAGTTTGGTTCTCATCACATTCGTCACGTCCTTGAAGGTGAAGTCTGAATGCTTCTCCTGCACATATTCTGTGGGGAACAGAAAACGTTTTAGAATTTTGAAAACGCGTCTATAATACAGGCATATTCAGCTACTAGGGGACAAGGAAAAGGTCTACTCACTGGCAATCGCCGCAACGATGTTGGGGTCCAGCTGCTTTTTAGCATCTACGCATTAGTCTGCTTCCCGAGAGAGAAGAGGACGCCATCAATTGTCTTGTTAAAAAGACAGACATCAGTTCTGTGACCTTTTTTTTTGGGTCCTTGCCTTCAGCCAACTCCACCTAGTAGAAATCAGACACACTGGTAGGGGTGTGAGTGACAATACTCTCAGCTTACAATTTGATATAACCGTATCACATACTTGAATGGAGAAAATCTATGAATCTATTTCATTTTATATACATTATATTTTATACTTGCAGTCAATAATGGGTTTGACTTTTGAGCACTATTTAGGCTAGCATGAAAAGCATATAAATGTATTAATGATTGAATTATGCATGCAAAATTTCACCCAACATGACTGGCAAGGAAATTAATGTAAGTGGGGTTATTGAACATGATCATACCATGTCACCAGCTCCCTGGTGCTCAGTTTTTGTTACTTCACCAGAGGTTCCAGCTTTCTCTTGGTAAAGAAGATATCATAGAAATGTCATAGTTATTTCATTTAATTAAGTCAATTATAAATGCTCCAATGTCATTAATATTGTCAGTTTTACAAGATCTGCAAAGCATACCCATAGTTGCATTGTCCTGGCTCTCGTCCTAAATGTTACAGGGTTGGAGTGCTTTGTCCTTCAACTCCCTCACCTGATCCAAAAGACTTGGCAGCTCTGAGAATACATTGCAGAAAACAAAATTGTTTCAGTATCATTCAGCTGCATCCTTCAAAACACCAACCAGTGACATAGGCATATTGGTTAATGGTAAATGGATTTATATAGCGCCTTTAGTCATCCGACCACTCAAAGCGCTTTACACTACATGCCAACATTCATCCATTCACACACACAATCATACACTGAAGGCATTGGCTACCATGCAAGGTGCCACCTGCTCATCATGATCTAAATTCTCAGTCACACACCGGTGCAGCTTTCGGGAGCAATTTGGGGTTCAGTGTCTTGCCCAAGAAACTTCGACATTCAGGTTCATATTCAGGTGTATTCCGACAAAAAGGGGGGAACTGACCTTGAAAAAGGGAGAGGGACTTTCTTAACATAATGTTCTCCCTATTTAACTCCTTAATTTTGTATTTAGAGATGTCCAGTTGACTCTGCAACTCAGATTTGGAGAGAGTCTGGTCCAGCTCGCTTTCAGAGTCAGTAATGGCGCGTTTCCACTGCAGCGGGTAGCTCGCTTTAAGCGTGCCGAGCCGTGCCGTGCGGGGCCCGTTTTTGGTTGCGTTTCCACTTGGCCTAGTACCGGCTAGCGGGTCCTAATTCACAGTTTTTCTGGCCCCATAAAATCGTGGTTCAAGGGCCAGGAACAACCAGGCTGAGTCGGGCTGAGTATGCTAAACTAGAGAGAGAATCGCTGGCAAGGGGGCTACAACTACAACAAGATGAACATATTTGACCGTGATTTAATTGTAATACACGTTTCAAAATGATGCCGAAGTAACAACATACTGATACCGGTTAGTAAAAACCATGAATTAATGCTTTGACAAGTCTGCAGACAGACGGCAGGCGAAAAACCTTTTTAAAATGCGTGTTTTCTAAATGGAGCTTGGCTAAGCAAACGCAGTATATGCTCCGACCGTCCACACTCACAACAACGGCCTATACAGACATAAATAAACCAGCGACTGTATTCGCCATGACACAGGCAGTCTGTGGTTTGTACTTGTTTAACCTTTGTCTAGTTTCTGAACAGATATGAGGAGCTGTGAGCTCTGAGTGCTAAGAGCTAACGGCTGTTGTTTTTCTGGGGCGCTCATTGAAGATGACGTCACGGCTCCGCCTACACTGCGTTACTATAGTAACTACCCCTATGTAACTACCCCAGTTCCTAAACGGTAATGGAAGCGCAGCATTAAAGTGAGCCGGGCCTAATAAGGCCTAACCAAACCGAGCGAGGCCTGCAGTGGAAACGCGCCATAAGAGGCATGGCCTGAAATGACAAACATTCACAAGAAAAACCAGACACAATGTTTATGCTTGAAATGCTATCAGGCTCATTATTATTATTAATTCTACAAAATGTTCTGGCTAGCTTAAAGGTGGGGTAGGTAAGTTTGAGAGGCAGATTTGTTCCGGCTGTGTATTTTCAAATTATAGCGTACTCGAGCTGGTTTCTCCAAAATTACCTACCCCACCTTTAAGTCTAAGGTACATTTAAAAACTACACAGTGTACATACAAAAATTAAAATAAATCTAACCCTAACACCAAAACCTCAAAGACAACCTAACATTTCCTCAAGATATCAACTAGGGCCTACTAGGCATTCAGAGAAATTATTTAACTACTTTGCTCCCCATTTTTTTTTTTTAGTAACTGAAATTATGGTTAGCTAAATATATTCAAATGCAGTTTGCACATTTCGGGGGGAAATGTAATTAAATTGAATATTCTATGGATCTTGAATACAAAGTACTGTATGTTAACCCAAAAGTGCACAGAAGTAATCAGATCACATTACAGAGTTTGATTATTTGTTTCACTCTTCTTACAATTAAAAATAAATGAATCTGTAACGGATTACATTTTTTACGTAAACCTTCTCAAGCCGCTCAATATTTTTGGGCTATCCATCTAAGACAGGGGTGTCAAACTCAATTTCATCACGGGCCACATCAGCATTATGGTTGCACTCAAAGGGCCGGTTGTAATTTTAAGACAATATAAAAATACATATATAAATATATCATATATATAAAATAATGTGTTATATTACATTATTTCCTCTGCATTGGATTATTATCGGATAGGGTAATAACTTCATAATTAACCTCATCTGAAAGCAGAAGTCTAGGGCAAATAATTGCAAGTCTCTTCAGTGAGAATGTTACAAAATGATTTAAAAAGAGAAGCCAAGTTCTGGAGAAAAAATATTTTGAAATAAAAAGTAACATTTTGAAAAAAAAATCTAATTCTGAGAAAAAGGAATATTTTGAAGAAGAAAAAGGCAAATTCTGAGAAAAAAGTCTAATTTGAGATGCATTGTGGGACATGTAGTTTATGGGCAACGTGCTTCTGTAAAGTAGCATGTAACCGTATAATAAACATATTATATTCTTTGCACGCTCTTGTGGGGCCACAGAAAATGAAGTCGCGGGCCGGATTTGGCCCCTGGGCCTTGAGTTTGACACCCCTGATCTACGATAAAGACTAAAGTAGTCAAGTACAATTAAACAAGTATTAGTTTTGCTTACTTTCTCCGATATGTTCCTCAATAGATTTTGTTGCTGCTTCTGTTCCGAATTATGCTTCTTCTGCTTTTGCTTCTTTGGTATGTCCTCCTTGATGAAAAAAATAAAATAGTCATTGAATATAGTCAATTATAATCTCTTGTAGAAATGTATGTTGTAACAATACAAGATTATTTCTCCTTTGGTGCGATACTAAGTTCAAAATCATGATTCTCAATAACAAAAATGATATCACAACAATTTGAAGAAATGCCTGGTTGAAATAGGTTTCTATTTCCAATTTAGATATTATAACAAATTACCCCATGGCCTGGGGGAATACACAATTCTAAATGGCTACAGAGGTGTTGATTAATGTGAGATATATGTACAGCTAGTAGCCTTATTACAGTTCAAAATGAATGCGCTTATCAATATTTGAGCCCTACAATGCTGACAGCTAATATAAAATAAGCTGCTCTTGTTTTGAGTAGCACACAAGTTACTTTCAAATCACAAAAGTCCAAGAAATAAACGGCCGTGGGGTCTTAGTTAAGGTGTAGGGGGATAGCCTTCACAGAGAAAACTAAAATTATACCATGACACTTTCGTCTTCCTCAGCTTCGTAATTGGGATTTTTCCTTTTCTCCCTCTTTCCCCTTCCTTTATGTTTCTCCAAGGAGGATAACATTGCTCCATTGGCCAGCTCGACGATCTTCAGTCGACCCACTGCAATGGGGTGGGGCAGGGCCGGCCCTTGGCATAGGCAGTATAGGCGAATGCTAAGGGCGCGCCGAAAATTGGGGGAAATATATATAATTTTTTTTTAAAAAATGTAATTGTGATTTTTTTTTTTTTAAATAAAACAATTTCCCGATTTTGGATCAACAAAGTACATCTTATTATCTTATCTTAACAGAACTACGTCTATATTGTGTACAGAGCCCATACACTATGGCGCCCCCCACCTAATTCAGGTAAGTTGAACTGCCCCAGCCCCGCAGGCTGTTTATGTCCTCAAGGAGCGAGGGGAGCGGGTCAAGTGTCACTGACTGACACTTGACCCGCCGCCTTTGACCTGCTGTGACTCGGGAGAAGAAAACAAAGACGGTAATTAGCATGTCGAAAAGAACAAAGTTATCTGGGGCCCAGGGAAGAAAGAAAAGAAAAGAGGAGGAGGACAAACGGGAGAAAGACAAAGGTACAGTAACGTTAATGTGATGATGATTAAACAAAGTCAAAAAATTGATTGTAGTTACCATTGATGGAACAGTTTTAACTTGCTAGCTTACTTTTAGACGATAGCAAGGTCGTTTGTTTGCTAATCAATAGTTACATTTAGAGTTAACGTCAATTATTACCGTTACTCCCACCTTAAATTCAGGGACATTTGGAAAGAGTTACATCACCTGCTATATATCATCTACTATATCTGTTGAGGTGAGCCAATGTTTGCCCTGCTTGTAGTAATAGGCTAATAATGATAGTCATTAAAATGCTATTCCTTTTACATCCCCTCAATAATTTATAGTTGTAGGCCTTTAATTGTATTGCCTTACAGTTTATGCTGTCTAAAGTATGTTCAATAATCAATAGTGTAACGTTTACATCAGTGTTAAAATGCTTGTCACTACTGTAAATACTGCATACCTTAGCCTTTATCTTTAATATGCTATATTACAATGTATGTAGCTGCTTCTTTGCCATCTGGTAAGTCGCAGAATATGCAGGTGTATCTAAAAGAATAACTATATCATAGAACTGTTTTTCTTTAATTTAATAAAACAAATTAATCATATATTCTAGATTCATTATGCATGAAGTGAAATATTTCAAACCTTTTTTGTTTTAATTGTGATTATTACAGCTTACAGATCATGCAAATCAATAATCCTGTATCTAGTATAATATTAGATAAGGATTTATAATACAGATATTTCGATCTTCTGAAAAGTGTATTCAAATATGTACTCAGTACTTGGTCGGGGCTCCTTTTGCAGAGATAAATGCATCAATTCTACATGGAGGCAATATATTCCATGATATTCTAATTATTTTGTGAGCTGCTCCTGTTTTCTGATTTATATAATATAATTTGGTCTAGCAAATATAATTCATCTCTTGATGGTCACATATACTTCTCTTCTCTCTCCAGATGCACTATTGACATTTTTTGGGCCTCATACCACCTCAGCAGAGCCCAGCCCTGCAGCATCAAGCGCTCCTGTCCCTTCCACCTCAGCAGAGCCCAGTGATACAGCATCAAGCGCTCCTGTCCCCTCCACCTCAGCAGAGCCCAGTGATACAGCATCAAGCGCTCCTGTCCCCTCCACCTCAGCAGAGCCCAGTGATACAGCATCAAGCGCTCCTGTCCCCTCCCCCTCAGCAGAGCCCAGTGATACAGCATCAAGCGCTCCTGTCCCCTCCACCTCAGCAGAGCCCAGTGATACAGCATCAAGCGCTCCTGTCTCCTCCACCTCAGCAGCGCCAAGTGATACAGCATCAAGCGCTCCTGTCCCCTCCACCTCAGCAGAGCCCAGTTATACAGCATCAGGGATAAAGGCTTCACCAATAGACCCTGCCGACTGGCCATCTGTTCTTACTGATAGTGTTTGTTCAGAGTGGACCATATCAAATGAAACCTAGTTTTATCTTTCCCAAACAAAAAGACGGGAGAAGGTGTCAGCAAGACTATTTTAACAGAGTCTTAATCAACGGAGAAAAAATCAAAAGAAGCTGGTTGATGTATTCAAAAAAGAATGATAGCTTGCACTGCTTCTGCTGCAAAATGTTTTCACAGAGAAATTACATACTCAATAGGGAAGGACTAAAGGACTGGAAAAATGCAAGTCACTTGCTCAAGGTACATGAAGAAAGCAAGGAGCACAACACAAACATGGCAACATGGAAGGAGTTAGACGTCCGTCTTGCCAGGGGGCTTACAATAGATATGCAAGAGTTGGCCCTTGCTCAGGCTGAGAGAAATAGGTGGCGCGACGTTCTCACTCGATTCGTGGCAATAATTCAGTCCTTAGCAGAGAGAAACCTGGCTCTGAGGGGGGTCCACACACACATTAAACCAACCAGACAATGGCAACTTTTTAAAAGAAGTGGAGCTTATGGCCAAATTCGATCCAGTCATAAAGCAGCATGTTGGTAGGGTGGTAAGTGGAGCTGGCAGTCACACACATTATATGGGCAAAATAATTCAAAATGAACTGATTGACTCAATCAGCTCTAAAATACTGGACACAATTGTGGAAGAGATAAAAACGTGTAAGTATTTCTCCATCATTTTGGATTGCACTCCTGATCTGAGTCATAAAGAACAACTCTCTGTTATTGTCAGGATAGTATCGCTAGAAGACAAACCACAGGTTAAAGAACATTTCCTGGGCTTTCTTGTGGCAGAGCAGTCAACAGGGGAAAGTTTGACATTGCTCATTCTCAAAAGGCTGGAGGAACTTAACATCCCCTTTGAGGACTGCAGAGGACAGTCGTATGACAACGGTGCCAACATGAAGGGTAAGAATAAAGGTGTTCAGGCTAGGTTGCTTCAGCAGAACCCAAGAGCTTTTTTTGTCCCTTGTGGTGCTCACACCTTAAATCTGGTGGTAGCTGATGCTGCAAAGAGCTCACCAGATGCTATAGGCTACTTTGGCTATTTAACAAAGTTGTACAAACTCTTCTCTGCCTCCACGCATAGATGGGACATCCTGCTGAAACATGTCAAAACAACCCTGAAATCGTGGTCAGAGACCAGATGGGAAAGCAGGATAAAAAGCGTTGAGGCAGTAATGTACCAGGCTGGGCAAATCAGAGAGGCTCTTCTGGAGGTGAGGGAAACAACTGCAGACCCTGTGGTGAGAGTTGAAGCCCAGTCTTTGGCTGAGGAGATTGGATCTTACCGTTTTATCATTTGCACAACCATATGGTATGACATCCTCTACAAGATCCAGCATGTGAGCAAACTGATGCAGTCACCCTCCATGCAGTTAGATGTGGCTGTCGACCTGCTGAAGAAAACAGGAGATTCCCTCACCTGCTACAGAAGGACTGGATTTTCTGATGCACAGACAACTGCAAAGGAGATGTGTGAGGAGAGGAACGTGGAGTCTGTTCTCAAACAAAAGCGGTTGAGATCCACAAAACGGCAGTTTGGTTATGAGTGTCCAGATGAGCCTATTGATGATGCACTTAAAAAAATGGAAATCACATTTTTTAATGTGGTTGTGGATACAGCCCTCTCTTCACTTGATGAGAGATTTCAGCACCTTGAAGAGGTAAATGACAAGTTTGGAGTGCTCATCAACTTTCCCACCACATCAAACGAAGAACTGCCAAAGCACTGTCCAACCCTGAGCTCTGCTCTGACCCATGATGGACAACCAGACATTGATGGCAGGGAACTTGCTGCAGAAATGCAAAATGTTCCACATTTGCCATCAAAGAAGATGACAAACATGGAACTATTGACCTTCCTTCATGAGAAGAAGCTGACAGAAATGTACCCCAATTTGTGGGTTGCTCTGAGAATCTCTGCCACTCTTCCTGTGACAGTGGCGCTGCTGAAAGAAGCTTCTCAAAGCTCAAACTGATCAAAACTTACCTGAGAGCTTCTATGGGACAAGAACGTCTCAGTGGACTATCCATCATAAGCATCAACCATGTGGTCTCAAAACAGCTGTCTTATGATGATGTCATAGATAATTTTGCTTCAAGAAAGGCAAGGAGAGTCAGGCTAAGGTAAGGTGTTGAGGTGTGAGATTGAGGCCTGTAGTATTTTAATGGTTGGATTTTGGCTAAATCTTGCTTTTAACCAAGACTGAAGTGATTGATAGCAAATATTTCGGTACCCAGAAGTAGTATGTTTAAGTGTTCAGCAAAGCAGCTTTTGTTTTAAATTAGTAAATATTTCTGGGTTGTACTTCTTACACATCCAGCTCTTAAGGTGAGGCAATTAGTCTCTCACGGACTGTATATCAGTACAGGTGGATTGTGTGCCTGTCAGCAGAGGAGCAACTTGTTGCCCTGTCTGACCTCAGCAGGGAGCAAGTGGAGGGGCCATGTGTGAATAGGCCTTTAGAAAGCGTGTGGCGAGGCTGCTGACTGCAATTATAGGTTTTAATGTTGTATTTGTTTTAAAATTAAAAAATCTCCCAAAAAACGTATACAGCTTCTGTGTGATTTTATTAACATTGGAATTTTTTTTTTGGGGGCGCCATCTAAAATCTCGCCTAGGGCGGCAAATTGGTCAGGGCCGGCCCTGGGTGGGGGGTATATAAATAAATAAAAAGACAATTTGAGAAATTATATTTGTCATTATCAGAACTTGCTATGTATCAGCTGCTTGACAGTCAGACAGTGAATATATTCTTCACAGCGGGTAGTTAACGGGAGAATAAACTCAGACTCGGTAAATGCCGCTGAAAACACATTAATAAACAATGAACCACGGCACTCTGGAGAAAAGTATAAGGTTGGAGAAGTAGTTATTTAATTTAATCTGGCTTCATATGATTAAAAGTAACACGATCATTGACCCGACGCAGTCCCCCGTTGTTGTTGTTATGAGCGGCGTTGGGGAGAAAATTAGCGACGTAAACGGTGACGTCATGACACAGCAGCGGCAGTACCAGTTGGCAGTTGGGCTCTGGGCGATGTGAATGTGAACACCTCTCTCTCTCTCTCCCTCACACACACACAATAAAAAATACAAACGTTTTAAATTGCTGTATGACTTATAATAGTTCTGCGCAACTTA